TAAAATAAAATCAGTTTATACTTGTCAATTTCGTTTTCAACAAAAATTCTTATAATATACCAAACATAAATTATGATAAACATTGAAAACAGAAAAAACAAACATCCACTCAGAAACTAATTTGTACATAAACTAAGATGTACAATAATTGTACATATCCCATTATATGTACATATACTGTATATATATTGATCATAAACTAATTTCAATGTACATATCTGCGGATTTCAATGTATTGACTGATTACACTGTGACAGAGTCCAAAAACCCTAAAAAAATCGAACCAAAACATTGATTTTCCTGCAACACCTCCTCGGCGGCTCCTCCTCCTCCTCCTCCTCCTCTCCACCACCTTCCCGCTCTCCAAGCGGAACGGTCACCTACTCCCGTTCTTAAAATAGAAAACTCCATTACCTTTGGCGCAGAAACCGAATCTCCGCTCGCTGCCGTCGATCCATGATTTCTCCACCGTCTTTCTCTCCATCCCCGGTGGATTCGCGCGACGCCGGCCGCTCATCGACTGGACTCTCCCCATACACAAGACCTTCGGCGAACCCGGTTCGACCTCCGTAACCGTCGTTTTTTTTCTGTTTGGGGAAAAGGCCCGCGTTCGTCGCCCTTGCAGGTCCTCCACTTCGAATCGGCGAACGCCGCCTTCTGTGTCCACACCGCTTATGTGCATCCACACCGGCGCCGCGATTAGGGGGTCACCGACTATGAGAGGGATCTTGGTTTTGGCCATAAAAGTGAAGGTAGGGTTTACTGAAGAGAAACATGCGTTGAGGGGGTAATCGGTTTAGTTGTGGGAGAGATAAGGAGTATAATGCGTGATTTTGGGGAGTTAGTTTTGATTTTTTTTTTATTGGTAACTGTATCTAATCAATCAATATTAATTGTATAGTATATATGCAAATAAAGTTTCATGGTTTTATAATTATGCTAAAGTTTATGTTTGAACCATATAAGTGCAAATAATTTGCTGTTAAGTTGTTCCCCATATAATTTCCTCTTTAGATAATTAGGCCATCTCAAATATCTTATGTATATGAATTATAACTTTATAATTAATTTTATTACATAAATTTCTAATCGCATTTAAAATAGTAGTATGGTTTAATTGGTAAATTTGTAAAAGATGTAGGTAGTATTGAAAAATTGTAAAAGTTGATGTGAAAGATAATATTTTTGTGAGTTTGAGAATGAGTTTTGTGAATTGCTGTTTGTTGTGACTACATAATGGATTAGAGAATGAATTTTTTTGGTTGAATATGGCCTTAAAGTTTATCTTTATATATTAATTCCGTTTATTATTTTCTTTAGTTTGTATTTCGATTATATAAATTATACTAATCCCATTCTTTATTTTTTTTTACAAAATAATTACGATATAATCCGATCGAGTAGCGACTCTTACCGGTACAATTTAATAGATAAGTCTGAGAAAATTTTAAAAAAATTATAATTTGTCGAGACTTGTAATCACAAAATCATGGAGGTTTTCATGGCCTAAATGACTGGTTTGTTTCTNNNNAGACAAAAAAGACACCACTGAGAAATATTGTATGAATTAAAGGGTGAAAACGAAGACAAAATTTTACGACTATTTAAATTCATCATGGTTGATGTCATTTTTGCGCTCCACAATATGTGATTCAATTATACGGTTTCTTCTAATTTTGTTTAAGTTAAAGCACGATAATTTGTTGTTCGGATACTGGCATACTGCTATGAAAACCATTCACAGTTTAACTGAATTAAAATCTTAAAACACAATAAAAATAGAAACAGTATGAACGATGATGTATGGATGAGAGGCAACATATCAAAAAATTTCAGTTATCATGCAGTCGTACATCATAATGTTAAGCCAAAGTGAGTGATAACAATAATCTATTACTGAAAAATCATATTTCATTAAAAATAAAATGACATGGTAAAACACTATGATCATGTAATTTTGCTTTTTTGGTTAAAAATGAGTTTATTTCAAATACCTCTACAGTTTTCAATTAAGGGTCTTTTTTAGCCTACCTATAAGCTAGTCAAACACTGTTATTATATCATCTAAGTTTGCACCCCTAACTCATGCAAAACACTAGAATCAACTTCTTCATCATCTAAATCCATCAAAACATGCCCAGCAGAGTACATAGGAAATCATATAATTAGAACATTCTAAACATCACAAACATTAACATCCCAAGAATACTTTAAAAGGTAAAGGCTCTTGCCATTCAGAAATCCGAAACGTAACATATGGAGTACTTTCAGCTACAAGCTGCTGATAATTACCCTCTGCTGCTCTTTTTAGCACGCTTTCCTTGTCCTTTCTTAGGTGGCCCCTTACCACGACGCTTGAGCATCTCAAGTTTGTTCAGCCGCCTGCCATGATCAACTAGTTAGAATCACAGAGAAAGATACTTTTAGAGAGAGAGAGAGAAAAAAATAAAAAATAAAATAAAATAAAAAATAAAAACGGTTTTTTGTTCAGTTCGAAAAGGTGTTCACAAAACTCATAATGCTTATAGAGAAAGTAACCGTAGAACTACCACGTCATATCGAAAAGCTAATCGAACCCTATGAAAATGATGAAAATTAATAAAGCTTAAAAATGGCATAAATCATAATATATCTTGATCATAATTTCAGGCAAGTATATAAGAGTAACTTTGTAATTTGAGTAGCCAAAAGATAATGCCTCCAAGCAAAACTTCCTCTGCAAAGTAGCCCCTTTTCTTGAGAGTTTCGCAGGGTGGTTGAGAATAAACAAACTGCAATTGAGCCAGATGAACTTTTCTTTCTAGAAAAAGTACTACATAAGTTTACCTTTTCTGCTCTCTTGCTTACACAGACGATTTTCTGCCAAAGGTGACTTTTTGAGGAAAAGAAGAGAAAATAAACTCATCCCATTCATCTTTTCTTTAACTTATCTACACGACTGAGATGGTATCTACTTTCACTATACAATCATCATTCTGTATATTGATCTACCGTTCCACTAAATACAAGTCACAACCCATTTATTAAATTGAAGATGCATACTTCGAGCACCCATTTCAAGGTATCGTGAGTACGTCACTAAACTTCGAGAAAAATGTACTATCCTAGTAACAGTGCTTTCCTACCGCATTCAAATAAGTAGTAAAGGATAAAATCCAACAAGAGTAGCTAACCTAAGGGAACAACACAAACACACTAACAAATAATGAAATAAATGGAACTATAATCTCACTCTTGCTCTTCACGGGCCATGATGAGTGGATCGTCATGTTTGATGTCATGTGGATACCAGGCAGCCACCTTATCCCCAATCAACTTCTTGCGCAGTATCTTGTGAGGAGACCTTTGCCCAGTAGGGTTCAGCACGTGACCAAAAATCTTGGCCCTGGCCTCAGTAACTCCTTTAATGGCTGCATCAGCCAGCACGTTCTTTAAGCTCCCCAAGCTGCTTCTCATACTCTTCTCTACCATTCGTTAAGAGAAAACATGATCAATTAGAGTAAATAATCGGTCTATACGCCAATTTATATGTTATTCAGAAAAGGAAAGGTAAAATGTTCCTCAGAGACAATTTATCAAACAGTTTATGTGCAAGACGTATACAATCCATAGACAGAGAAGCAAAACTGCAGTCCGAAAGGAAAAATGCTTAGCCGAAGCTAATGATTAAATTAAGACTTGTGTTAAATTATTTAACGCAATGATTAAAAACAGAAACTTCACGTTAGAATTTATGAATGATGAATACGAAGAAAGTTTAGGAGCGTGAAAGCTGAAGCTTACCTCAAGAACAGAACACGGGAGGGGAAGTGAAGATGAAAGGCGCTTTGTGAGTTAATTTTAGGTTTTACTAAAAGCGCGCTATACTCGATCAGAATAACACAAAAGTCGCTAAAAGGACAACCGCGTTCGGTTATTTATTTATTTTTTATTTTATTTTTTTTTTATTTTTATTTTTTAAGTTAAGTTATCTTGTGTGAAGATGAAAAGGTGACACTTTTGTTTTTAAAGAATAGTTTAAGGCGTGCTTGTTTATGAAATATTTCATTCAAAGTGAGTTATTTTAGTTAACTAGAGTTAATTTTGAAAAAGGTAGTATGGTTAATTGTTAGTGGGATTTTAAGAATGTATTAAAATAATATTTAAAATAAAATGATTAAAATTGTTTTGATGTAAAAGTAAGAGATAAATGATTGGAAATGATTAGAAAATGATAGGTAGTTAAAATTATGTGAGTGGATGAATAGTGAATTAAAGTTGATGTGATGTGTAAGAATGATTGGTTTATATTATTTAATTAAATGAATAATATTAAAGATAATGAGGTTGGGTTAAAGTTGAGTTAGATTTTGAGTATGAATTGGATTGAAAATGAAATAATTTGTAAACAAGCATGCCCTTAAGATTATGAATGTATGTGAGAAATATCGATATATCTTTTAGAAAATATATAATGATAATTGTTTCTATTTTTAATTTTGTTAGTTAGGTTTGGTGAAGAAAACGTGACATGAAAGGAATATTATTTTTTTTGAGAATTTTTTGGTGCATTTTCAATTTCAGTGATATAAATTTGGTTGAACAAAATTAGAAAAAAAAAATATGTACTAGCCAAATTTATCCAATAGTGATTGCTATATTATTTAATAATTTTTTGTTTCAATCTCAGTTTCAATGAGATAAATTTGGTTAAACAAACTAAATTGGAAAAGAAAAAATATGCATCCTATAACGAATATTATTTTTCTCTAATAATTTCTTATTTTATTTTCAATTTCAGTGAGATAAATTTGGCTGAACAATCTAAATTGGAAAAAATCATGTACCTGATCGCAAATTAATTTTTCTTTTTTCTAAGGACTTTTTTTTTTTTCCTTTTTGAGTGAAATTTGCTAAATGCTTAAAAAATGTCATTACAGTCTTAATATAGGATTCCGGATCATAATTAAGAATATTATTTCATCAATCGCAAAATAATTCAAAAGCTTACCTTGTTTTTTATTACTTGAAATAAGATTAAGATTTTAAAGAAAGTTTAAAATAGCATCATTTATAGATTTGTGTAAGTCGGTCCAACGTTCAGCTGAATCTTACCAGTTACCAACATATTTTTAAGAAAAAACTATTCACTAATACAAAAATGACATATTCTCATTTATGCTAATTTTTAAATATTATACTTAATTATAAAAATATGCATATTTATTAAAAGTTTAATCATGACCCAATTATAAAAGATTTAGTGCAAACAAATTCCTCCCAAGTTTCACATTAAATAATCAATTTAAAGCACATCTTTTCTATTTTATAAATGCTCCAATATATCTACCTAGATCAATAAAAATGCCATCAAGGCGTCAATATTTGCTTGGTGTCTTCCGAAAATACTTTGCGATTGAGATGAGATGCATACTTTTTTAATTTGATCCTTGTGTTAAGATTTTGAATTCACATAACTTAAATAATTTACTTTTTTATTTGATTATATTACTTGTAAATCGCTTAAAAACAAGTAAGACAAAATAAAGAGAAGTTTAACTTTGTACCAAAAAAAACAACTGAGGTAGAACGTCAATAGTCAATACAAGAACAAAGAGTCTTCATGTCGATAAGGACATTAGAGGTTTAAAGAGGCACCGACAGGTCGAGTTAGGGTCCTCGGACGGGCTGGTGGAAACTCGACCTGAAAGTACGATTGGTCGTACGATCGACCTGGAGGACAAGGCACGTACGCTCGACATACGCAACATTCTATCTCGACGTGATTTAGAGCAGTTAATTAAGGTAGACTAATAGATAAGAAGGAACATTAATAGAATAAAGACCACAAGTGGATAGAGCCACGTTGCCTAATAGAATTGGATAGTCCAGGCAGCTCACTCGGACAGTATTGGGCAACAAGGAGACATCTCCCTATAATGCCCTTTAGAATATTAAACACCCTCGATACACTTACATACTGCTCATCATCTTCTACATCTCACTGACTTAAGAATCGGATGTTTTTCGCCAAAAACCCCTCAGGTGTCGAGTTTGTGCAGGTCTTGAAAGTCATCCATCGGCGAGGAAACCAGATCAGGTCGAATCGAGCCAGTCGAGGATCTTTTCATACCAAGAAGAATATTGATGATATAGATCAATTGAAACAATATCTGTCGAGCCTCGCAAATAAAAGAAAGTTATGTTCCTACATGACTTTTTACTACCATAATAAAAGTGATTTTAAGGATTGAACTATGAATAAAACTTACCTTTTATGAAGATTCTAAATACTCACGACCATAAGAAACGATTACATATTCAAAAGTCTTCATTATTATATTGTAACAATTGAGAGAGAGATAGAGAGCTCTCCATATATTGAGTATTCTGATAATTCTCATAACTCATTTTTTTATTTTATTTCATAAACTTAGTTGACAAAAGTATTCGTGTCAAGGGCCGATGCAGGAAAAAAAATTGGGAGTGGCTAAATAAGTTATTGCAATCGGATAACCGGATTGTATTTGTTCAACTCGTAATAGTTTGATCTCATATCAATCATAAATGAGCCAAGTTAGAACGACTAGTCAAACTTTCTTATTAAACAAATCGGGTAGATTGAAGTTTACACAAGTAGAGTTTGAGTTCATATTTTCGTTTATTTATTAAGTAGTCAAGTTAATCAAACTCATTTATTAAAATATTATAAACTTAAACATGAGTTATTCAACTTGACTTATCATGATACCATTTCGAGGGGAACAATATAATTTTTAATATCTCTCTCACCCACCCACTCACATACACACATATATAGGCGTAAAATCTATATATATATAATAAGAATTTCCATTTACTAGAAATAGTAAGTAAAAAGATCAGCCAAAATTAATTGCATGTCACTTTTAAAAATTTTGTTGATTTTTGTATTTTTTATTTATCACAAAATCATACAACTTTATACTCCGCTAAATTTAGGGATTATGGAAACAAATTTGGAGCTATTGTGGAAACTTTTATTTCGAATTTCTTTAGCTTTATATGTAGATTTGAATTGAGTAATTATAGAGAATCAATCATTCAAACTTTATAATTATTTTATAATAAAACATAAAAAAATAAATAATTATGTTATTTTTCATACATTAAGTCCATTAAAATCTGGGTGGATTCACTATCAAGCCATACTCTACGGCTACTAAAACATACACCTTCATTAATATAATCACAACAAATTTCGGAACTTTAATGATAATTTCAGATCTTCATCATGCCGTATTTAAAGTGATAAAATTCCACTGATGTTGAGCCATAAAATGGAACATGTCACTTAAATTTTATCTCAAAACTCCAATGATGTTAAACCCTGAATGTCATTTATTTTCTTTGTAGATAATTTTTTTTTTATATTTAAGTATGAGATAATAGTCGTCTAATATCACAGTAAATATTTATATTTGAATATATATGCTGATAACATCTGTTTTATGATTATTGTCATGATTTATATTTAAATAAGAAATTATACATGTTTTAGGAAGAAATTTGATTTATAAATTTATTAAAAAAATAAATTTCACGGAATATCTAAATAAATAATAGCGTGAAACAAATAAGTGTTATTTTAGGTAATTTCACGCATTTGTCGATAATAGTATAAAACTTTTTAGCTATTAATGCTATACATGTTTATATAACATTTTAAGTACTTTTTGATAGGCATGCTTTATATATTTTTACACAACTTAAATTTATGTACCATTTTCAATAAGTTAATGTAGGTAAATTGCATCACAAATTAACTTAGTATTTCAAATTTATACATATTATTTAATATTATTTACCCGTGCATCGCACGGGATTTGTACTAGTTGTATTTTAAAATGGATAATATAATTAATAAGTAGTACTACAAAAGACATAACTTCTTAATTTTGGTAGGTTAAATGTTCAACATTCTTTACACTCACGAAACTCATTGATGATTGGCTCGATGTTAAAACAAATGCTATAATTGGTAGGTTTCCTAATTGTTAGACATATATATTTTTCTGCGAAAAATGCATTGTTATATTATAAAATGTTTACTTTTATTTGTTTTGCACTATAAAGTATGACATTTAAGTATGAAGTATAAATATATTTGTTGGAATAGTGTGATTGTCTACCTATCTCTTTTGAACCATTGAATTGCATATGTTGCACGTATTGATCATAGTTCTAGCAGTTCTCTTTTGAACCATTTAATTGTACCTGAGCTCAAACACAAAATAAATTATAAAACAAAGATGAAAGGGTACATACAAAAATACGATGTAGTTAAAACTAATTAGTAAATAGAGTGATACAATAATCTGTAATAATTATGAGAATGAGTATGAATTGAATAATGTTTTATGTATATTTAATATATATATATATATATATATTTTTTTAAAAAAAAAAAAATTAAAAGTCTTAGAATATATATACATACATAAATATATATTAAGCAAATAGCATGTTTGTTTATGAAATTTTTTCAAAAAATTTCCAACATTTTAACTCAACCACCTTTTTTAACTCAACTTTAACTCAACCCCACTATCATCAATATTATTAATATAATTTAATAATATCAATCAATCATTCATACACACCACATCAACCTTAATTCACTATTCATCCACTCACATTATTTTAACTAACCATCACTTCAATCTTCTCTCTCCTACTTTTACATCAAATTAATTTTAATTATTTTATTTTAAATATTATTTTTAATATACTCACTAACAACTAATCATACCA